CTGGGGGACCGGGAAGCGCCGGTGGAGTCTGCGAGTGTCCCCCGAGGTCTCAGGATGCCCGTGGGGTCCCAAGGGTGCCCATGGAGTCTGGGGGGTTCCTGCAGGGTCGGGGGTGCCCATGGGACCTGGGGGTGCCCTCTGGGTTTGGGGAGCGCCCACTGGGTCTGAGGGCTCCTGCAGAGTCTGTGGGTGCCTGTGATACTTGTGGGTGCCCCCAGGGTCCTGGGGGGGTTTCTACAGGGCCCGGGGATGACAATGGGGCCTCTAGACACCTGCGGGGTCCAAGGGTGCCCGTGGGGGTGTGGGTGCCCAAGGTGTCTGTGGGGTGCCCATGGGTTTGGTCACCTTGAGGTCGCGGTACACCACGAAGCGGCTGTGCATGTGCTCCAGGCCCAGGATGATCTCAGCCGCGTAGAACCGCATCTCCGCCTCCGAGAAGACGCCGTGCTGGGACAGGTGATAATGCAGGTCTCCCCCTGCGGCGACAGGGACCGGTTGTCTCGCTGGCACTGCCCTCCGCGCCCCGGGGACGGTGCGGGGCTTCGAGCCCGTGGCTCAGGCCAGCCGTGGCCCTGGGGCCAGGGATCAGCCACGGGGTCCCTCGGGGCCAGCGACCTCTCACCGTTCATGAGGTCAAGGATGAAGCTGAGCTTGTCGGGTGTGTGGAAGGCGTATGACATGCACACGATGAATGGGCAGTCCTGGCAGGAGAGACGGGGTCATGCAGTGCTGTCGGTGCCCCGCGAACACCCTCCCTCACCGTCCCTCTCCCCTCGCCTGTGCCACAGCCTGAGACCGGGGTGCCAGCCCTGCCCGGTGCCTGCGTCCCCTCACCCCGGTGCTGACGAGGGACAGCATGATACGCTCGTTGAGGGCCAGGGTCTCGCCCTGCTTCATCTTGATGCGTTTCTTGTCCAAACACTTCATGGCGTACCTGGGGGCAGGCAAACAGTCCCTGCAGGGCCCTGCTGCTGCCCACGGCCTCGGTGCCAAAGCCCGCCTCTGCCCGTGGCCACGTCCCTCCAGTGCCACTGCCATGTCGCCACGGCCCTGCCCTGCCCACGGCCCCACCAACCGCAGCCACGCCATCGCGTCCCTCCACTGCCAGCACCCACGGCCACATCACCGCATCCAGCTACCACCCACGGCCGTGATGTCCCTGTATCCCCCCTGAGACCCGTAGCCATGGCAATACTTCTGCAACCCCCTAACATCTGTCGTCATGGCAACACCGCTGCAGATGCCCTGGCAGATCCCCTGGCCCCCCACAACGGCGCATCCCCCATTACATTTTGCCTGTATCTGCTTTCCGGCAGCCGTAGACCTCCCCGAAACCACCGCGGCCGATGATTCGGTGAACGCTGAAGTCGTTCATGGTGAGCTGGAGGGGGCGAGAAAGAGGCGGGGGTGAGCCTGAACACCTGAGTCCCACCTGAGCCCTGCACCAAGAGCTGCGTGTGTCCGTGGTGGTGGTGGGGTCCCACACCCTGCCTCAGTTTCCCCAGGTGAGGGACACGGAGGCTGCTCCACATGTCCCCGTGAACGTGTGTGGGAGAGCCACCTGTGAGCGAGTGAAAGCCTGGGGGTTGTGCGAGGGTGCCCCTGCGGGGTGCTCATCCGATGGTACCCGTGCCGGGCCTAGTGAGCCCCGGGGCAGCAGCCTTGTCACTGCGCCCACGTCCCCCTCCCTGGAAGTGCCCAGAGGTGCCCGGGGTGGCCTGAGGCGCAGGGGTCCCTGCTCACATGGATGTTCAGCTCCACGTTCTTCCACTGGCAGAACCGCGTGAACTTGTCACTGCAATGAAGCACAGAGAGGGCAAGAGTGGAGCCCCTGGAGAAACCCCCTCCACGACCCATCTCGGGGCAGAAGGACCCCTTGGACTTGTCTGGAGACAGGCAGCACGCCCCCCGGGACCCCTGTCTGGGAACAGAGAGACCCCGGGCCAGACCTGGGGATGAGAAGAGTCCCCTGAGTCCCTGGTCTGGGGACAGACACACCTGGAGCTCCTATCCAAGAAGGGACCCCTGGCCCCTCTCTGGGCCGGGAGACCCTGGTGCCCAGTGGGATGGGACACCCTGATCCACGTGGGACTTTCCCCCGTCTCACCTCTCGATGAATTTCTGGAAGATGCCCCCACGCAGGTTCTGGCAGATCTCCTCAATGTAGGGCTGGGGGGACACAGGGCTCAGCGCTGGGTCCCCAGTGCCACCCAGGTCACCCGTACCCCTCAGGTCCCATCGCTACCTGAGGTCTCCTCCACCCTTGGGATTTCACATACCCCCACTGCCACGCTGCCACTGCCAGGCCCCTGGGGATGCTTCTGCCACCCAGGGTCACCTGAGTCTCTGGGGACCTGAACATCACCACCCCCGGGGACCCTGCTGTCACCTCTACATCCAGGGTCCCAATCATCACCCTCTGAGGAGCCCCCCTGTTACCTCCAGCCCCCAGTCTCCTGACTACCACCCCATGCAGACCACCAGCAATCCCCCTCACTCCCAACCTGCTGGGGACCCCCTCACCACCCCTTGGGGTCCCCATACCTTCTGGGGACAACCCTCCCCGCCTAGGAGCCCCTGTCGCCACCAGCCCCCAGCACCCTCTCACCAGCCCCCCATAAGGATTAACCCTCCGAGTACCAGAGGTGGCAGGGACCCCCTCTCTGTCCCGGGTGATGCCCACCTGGAAGAGGTCTGGGGGCACCTGCTTCTTGCTCAGGCGGCTCTGGACATGCTCCGTGGCACTCCTGGAGAAGGGCTGTGAGGCAAGAGGGGACCGTGTCACCCTGGGCAGAAGGGACGGGGGCACAGGGGCAAGGCAGCCCCACAGGGGCCAGGCAGGGCTGCACAAGTTGGGGAACTCGCGGAGGAACCCCCATCCATAGGGCTGGGTCTGTGGCTCCCAGAACAGAGTCAGTGGTGGTTTTGGAGTTCCCTCTGAAGACACTGGGTACCAGGCCCCCTGGGCACACTGGATACATCCCTCCCACCCGCTCTGGGGACCCCACCTCGGTACCTCAACCCTACTGTAGTACCGGCACAGCGCCTGCACAGCACGGTACTCACGTGGGAGCAGGCCAGCAGCTCCTTCATGATGTAATGGTCGAAGATGTGGCGGCTCCGGGTGGTTCGCTCCTCCTCCGAGTCCAGCTTCTCATACTTCTTGATCTGGCAAGGGCACAGCTCCCGTGGCACAGGGGCACACCGCCCCCAGGCCCGCGCTGCCACGGGGCACAGCCCTCACCCCACACCAGGCAGGCGCAGCCCAGGGCTGGACAGCCCCCAGAACCTGGTACGCCAGGAACCACGGCTCCAGCCCCTCTGGGTACCATGTCCCGCAAGCACCCAACGGTTATCACGTCCCCTGGGTACCCAGAGCATCACCTCCTGGCCCCCTGGGCACCGTCTCCCTTGGGTACTCTGCATGCTCTTGGTACCACGCCTGTGGGCCCTGTAGGTACCAAATCCCACCCCCAACCCTCCTAATGGCCACGGGGGTCCATCCAGATGGGTGCCCCCCATCTCACCTCCTCATAAAACTCCATCAGGGGTTTGGCCTCCTCTGCCTGGTTAAATGCGAAGTCCCGGAAGAGCAGGTACCCTGGCAGGGACAGAGCCATGGCTCTGTGAGAGGTGCCTGCCCCAGAGCGGCGGCGCGTGCCCCATAGCCCAGGCCAAGCGGCACAGGGACGTCCCCTGGGCCTGCCTGTCCCCACAGCCACCCCCATGCCAGGCTCGGGGAAGGGGAAGTGCCAAGCTGGGGACCGGCCAGGGTTTGGCAGGGCGATGCAGTGAGGCAAGGACACCAGCTGGCACAGGGAGGAGCAGTGCAGTGCTACGGGGCACTACGGGGCAGGGGTTCGGTGGGGTAGCAAGGAGGTTGGTGCAGCAGGGGGAGCAATGGGGGAGGGGCACAGGCGGGCACCACGGAGCAGGCTGCCGTG